TATTATTTTATTTAAAAAATACTAAATACAATTAAATTTTCTAGGCAAATTTGCCTGGAATACAGTTTAAGAGATAAATAAAAATAATAATAATAATAATAATAATAATAAATCTTATCAGTTTAATTTAAAATCCTGTTTCTTGGTGTTAATGTCATAAAGTCAACATCATATAAAAAATTATTTTTCTGTAGACTTTTTTATTCAATTGTACATGCAAAATCTGGCATCGTAATGGGAAAAAAAAAGACAAGGTCCTTTTCGCTGAAAATTTGCATAATGATCAAAGGAAAATGATATGTGATCATTATCTAAAAAATCTAACACTTACTCAGAAAGAACTCGCAGAGTGGCCAAAAATGAGTTCAAGTTAGTAAAAGCTCTAGGCCAAAGTACAATCTCTAACATCTTAAAAAGGAAGGATGAATTTAATAAAATATCTTAAAATGACCTTGAAGTTAAGAGACGTCGTATTATTATATTTCCCGAGCTAGACACTGCCTTGACGAACTGGGTCTTACAATGTGAACATAGGGCTATACGTTTAAATGGAGATATGATTAAGGCTAAGGGAAAAAGATTAGCAAACCTGATAGAAATTCCTGAAAATAATCAGCCTGAATTTTCAAATAGGTGGTTGCAAGCTTTTCAAGAAAAGCATAATTTTTACTACTTCAAGTTGTATAGTGAGAGTGGTTCTGCTAACATTGCTGCCATAAACATAAATCTTTCTAATATTATTAATACTACTAACCAGTATTCTCTTTGTGATGTTTACAATATGGACGAGACAGGCTTGTTCTTTGCTATGGCTCCTGATCGTACAATTGCATCTCGCCAGATTGAAGGTAGTGATATGAATCAAAATCGATTAGTTGGTTTATTGATTAAAGAATATAAGCCAACTATTAATCGATTAACCAACTAACTGGTTAATCAATTAACTAATTAATTAAGTGTTGTTAAATTAAATTTGATTTTTTAACCAATTCGTATAACATGTTATTCCATACCATATAACCCATCATATGATAACAGACTCTAACAATTAACTAAAAGATCAATTGGTTAACTTATCGATGAATAAATTGAACGATTCATCAGTTAGTTAATAATAATTGATTCTTAATTAGTTTTTTTTTTTAAAAAAAAAAACTAACTAATCAATTACATTTTTTTTTTTGATTCATAATACTATTTGAAGGATCAAAAAAAGATTGTTCAAGAATTACGATCGTATTTACGGCTAATGCAGACGGCACCCATAAACTTTAACCTTTCATTATTAGACATTTCAAAAGATCTAGATGTTTCAAAAAAAAAATGAGTGAAGAACTTGGATTCTATTACCGTAATAATAAAAAAGCATGGATGACCGCCATGTTTTTTTTAGAATGGATAGAAAAATTGGATAAAAAAATGAGAGAATCAAACTGTCACATTTTACTTATCTTTGATGGTACCCCCTCATATGTTACTGGTTTCCTCAATTTGACTAATGTAAAAGTACTTATGTTACCTCCACATGCAACATCAAAAATCCAACTCATGGATGCCAGTATAATTGCATCATTTAAACTTCATTATCATCATTTACAACTTCAACATGCAATTGATCGTGATGAAGATAGGAAGAAAGATATATATAAAGTCGATCAATTGCAGGTAGTAATATGATAGAAAGTAATTATTTGGTCAAGCCGGAAATCAGTAGATTTATTTTGGATTCTTCTTTTTTTTTTTTTTTTAATTTAAGATTAAAATTATTATAAAAAAAAAAAAAGTACAAATAAATTTTTACTGACTCGTATCACTAATTGCAGGCTATGAAATGGACAAAGATTGCCTGGAATAAAGTATCTCCTGAAACAATTAGGAGATGTTAGTTCTGTACAAAAGTTGTATCTTCTCATAATGAAAACGGAGTATCTGTCACCCCCATGCTATTGTTGAAAGTATTGATGATGTGGAAGAAAACCTACCTCCTTGATCCAAATAATGAATTAACAGTCAAAGAACTTCAGCAGCAAATAGACATATTATCTGTTCAGAATCCACTATCAATTGAAGATTTACTAAACCTTAAAGAAGAACGAGAAGCATACTACCAGTTTACCGATGAAGATCTAATCCAAGCTGTGATGGAAGTCGAACCAGTAGAAGAGGAATTCGTAATGCCAACCTTAACTGGAGAAGAGCAATTGAATATTTTGCGTAGTGCCTTGAGAATCGTGAATGAAAGAATCGATGATGGTGGTATAACAATGAAATCCTTACACAAACTACAATCCTGTATTCGAGAAGAGGTTCGGAAAGAAAAGGCCAAGAAGCAAGTTCAATATAGATTGGATCAATACTTTACTTGAACAAAGGATTGTTTCAGTTTTACTTTTTCTTTTCTTTTAATATTTGGAAAAAATCTTGAAAAAAAAAATTGTGCCATAAGATAAAAAAAAAAAAAAAGATATTAGCAATATAAAGAAAGGGAATGAAAAGTAATAAATGCAATACAATAATGAAAGTCATACTTATCTGAGATCCATATACTGTATTTGATAATAAGTACAGTCAGACCTCCTCTAAATACTACCCTCCTAAAAGTACATGTTCTATGAAAAGCCTCCCTAAAGAACGTCTTCTCTTGGGCCCAACTAATATTACACTTGTAGATTTCTACCTACCTAAATACAATATCTCTCTAAGCGCATATTTGATTAAATTTTACATATGGCCGTCGCATTGTATTTAGAGAGAGTCTGACTGTATGATTTCACATTTTGCTTAATAATTAATGATTTGATTGGCTTCTGATCATGTGACCATATATGGTAAATCGGGAACGTATATATTCAGATTATCAGATATCAGAAATGGTAGGTTATCGGGTATGACTTAAAGAATAGACCTGGTGGATCGATTTTTAACTGATTATGGTAAGATATCGGTTTTGACAGAATCGGTTTGGGGAGGGTCAACAGTATATACAAAAATAGGTACTAATATAAAAGAAGACTAAAAACAAAAATAAAAACTATTACTAAAAAAAAGAAAACTTGTTAACTAAGTAAAAACTTCTAACTATATAGTATAACAAACTACTCATATTACATTGTTGTGAGAATCTTAATACAATAAAAAAATCAAATATACTATAACTCATGCTAGAGGCTAAAAATTATATACAACTAATTACAGGATATTTGTATATTTTAATACATTTTGCTTGACTCTTCTAATTAAATTTATATCATCATTCAAAAGTATAAAAACTTTAACCTTCATATGATCTTCACTATTCGATAACTGTATATATTTGTATACTCTATACAATCTAATATGTAAAATTTCTAATTGAAGTATCTGCCAGTTACTAATATTCGCTAATACCATCTATTTTATATATATTGTTTTATTATTAAATAGTTTTTCAATATGGAAGTAGTAAACAATATTGATCTTTTGGGAGGGTATGCCAAATTTTCTACTTTTTGTCAAAAATTATAGCCAAAATATTAAAGAGAAAAATATTATAAGTATTGTAAGTTTTTAACCAAAAAGTGTTGTTCCAGATATTCTTCAACATTTTTCATCTTCAAACAAACTTGAGCTTACTTTTTACTTGCTATTTCCAGAAACTTCTCTGGTTTAGATACTAAATATATAAGAGAGTCCACCAAAGCAAAGAAAAAAAGGCTTGACTCTTGTACAAACTATCTAAAATATCTGCTCTTCAATATATCACATTTAAAGACTTCATTAACAACAGTTTGTATCAAAGAAACTTAAAGTTGATATTGCAGTCTGACAATTTACCAAATTAGAAAATCGTATTCTAGAATGATTGATATACAATCTTGTAAATTTGATTAGCTTCCAGACATTCTTTGTACATCGTACTCGCTTTGGGGGTTTTAAATATTTTTTTATATTTATTCAATACTAAATGATATATGAATAGATAGTATTAAACACTTATATTATTTAATTCCATTTAATCTCTTCCCGTAATCTGTTCTTAAAAAAGTAAATGAGAGCTTAAAATTACAAATTTTTTTTGCGTATTATAAAATGAAAAGAGTTAATTGATGATCTACGAGTAAATGAGAACTTAACACTAGGGGAAATTTTATAATAAAACATAGTAAAAAAATGTTAAGTTGGAATCATGATTTCTATAGTATTAGAAAACCTTTTAACCTTAAATTGCTCATAACTTTTTATCTATTTAACTAATTTTACCGATCTTACT